TCGTCATAATTTCGAGTTTATCCGTAAGCAAGGGGACTATCAATAAATGTCGTTCGCGACGATGCCTTTCCCGGGTTTCGAGAAAGGAAACGATTGAACGTTTTTCATCCTTCCACATTCTTGATTCACGAAAACGATCATTGGTACGTATCCGATCTATACCAATCTTCGTGGCATCATAATTTCTTTAGAATTTTTCGTTTCCTATCTTAACGTTTCCTCCGATTAAATATCAATGTATGAATGTATCGGCATATAAAATCTTTATTTACACAAAAGTAGAATATAGAAACCCCGTTAATGAATGGATCAGTCAATTATTGATAATTAATGTTCCTTTCGAATTCCGATAACTAATTGTAAGTACTTCCTCTTATTAAATGCGAATTATGTTTTTCCGTTAAGGATAAAAAGGAAAGGGGAAAGAAAAAAAAGAAAAAAGAAAAAAAGAAAAAAAAAAAAGAAAGAGAAAAGAAGAGAAAAAGTCGGTCGCGATTCGTAAAATTGAACCGAAGGAATTGCAGGATGCATCAATAATGAGGGGGAAGGAAAAAAAAATATATAAAAAGAAAAGTGGTGCTATCGTCGAAGCGATCCACAATCTGCAAGCACGAAGTGACATTTCTCATTAATATAACTGTATTCGTATAATACGTGCAACCTATTCTTCCATTTTGAATCGTTCGAAAGTCGATCGGTAACGATTTCAACGACGCGATCACCGTCCTTGTTTCTCTCTCTCTCTCTTTCTCTCTCTGTCTTTCCTTCTTTCTCTTACAGGTTCGCAGACTTCATTAATAATGTGATTCCAAAGAAAAAAAAAAAAAAAAAAAAAAAAAAAAAAAAGAAAGAAAGGTAACGTTAGATTGATCGAATTGACCCTATATGGATATTTTTACGAATTACAAAATAGTTTGCTCGGTGGGCAAATAAAATAGAAAGAAAAATCGTTAATCTTCAAGCAAATGCATTTATTTATTTTGGTAAGTATTTAATTAATTGACGGTAAGTATTTTGTATAATAAATGGTCGAATAATCGATAATGATCGATTCTCTATTATCTTTATTATCTGGCATCTCTATTGTCGTTATGATTTTATTTGATACTTTGTTATAAATATTGACCATTTGTTTGAAATACTGACCAAACGATATTAAAAATATTGAATCGAATAAATAGGACAATACCTCAATGAAGAAATAGAAATAGTTAGTATAAGTTTCGAATGTTTTCGTTTAGCAATTCTCGAATGATACGGAACAATCGAAGAATTAGCATTCCGCAAACGTGGTTTAACTTAAGAAAGACTAGATTGTCGAACGTACGGCCACCTGTTGACATTTTCTGTGAATGCGCATCGTGGTGCGGTAGGCTATTTGAAAATCTTTTAAACTTGATCGTTTCTTTCTTTCTTTCTTTTCTTTTTCTTTTGATTATTTCTTTTTTCTTGTTTTTTTTCTTTCTTTCTATTTTTTTTCTTTTCTTTCCTTTTTTTTTTTTTCTAAGTAGATCCTAGATAAGGCCGAAAATAAAAAATACGAAAAAAATTCGAAGAGAATACGTCAAGATAATTATCTTTTCATTAAGTTGCCATAATCGATAAACTTTTGTGACAGCGCACTAGTTAATTCATTTATTTTCGCATTACTTTCGTACGTTGACCGCTCGTCGCGCGCCATGATTTTCGCGTGATATAGTTTTTATTAACGGTGAAATTCGAGGAAGGGAGTTTCGTTAGGCAAGAGAGGAGAGAAAGAAAGAGAGAAAGAGAGAGAGAGAGAGAGAGAGAGAGAGAGAGAGCGAAGTGAAAACCGGTCTCTCACGATGAAATCTGGACAAAAGATCTTGAGACGAATCGAATGAATTCTTAGAACGTTCTTGGAATAATTAGCTTCCCAGATAAATAATACTGCAAGACGTCGGGAAAATTATCATTAACGTGGATTTGATCGAAAAAGAGATTTGTCATTTTAAAAAAAAAAAAAACTTTTTTTTTAGCATATATATATATATATATATATATATATATATATATATATATAATAATCTAAATAATTAAAGATAAAATAAATATTACAATAAATAGGTTCTTCATCTCATTACGACGCGAGGTGGTGGGATATAAAAAGACTAAGTGTTCTCGATGCGTTACGTAATACGTGTAGCGCGTTCGTTCATAAACACCATCATTTAAAATATGAATGGAATCAACGGAAGCCTTTAAAGATCGGTTGGCTTGTTGTCCGTCCATCGCTTTGCAAGTAAAATGTGTTCGCGGAAGAGAGCTCGTATTCTTAACCTATCTCAATCCACGCAAATTCTAATCTATTTGTGTACAGAACACGTGCTCTCTCTCTCTCTTTCTTCCTTTCTTTCTTTCTTTCTTATTCTATATCTATGCTAATTAAAACATTAATGACCATGGTAAAACAGACATTTCTTCGGGATCAACATGAACGGTTTCTTATTTTGCTATGCAAAATATACGTTTGGCATATTGAAAAGAACATATTTTTCCGTCAACCGGACGTCAAAGAAGCTTGTACTTTGCTCGTTCATGCCTCTGGGTCTTTCGTATCTTCGGCAAAAAGCGTGACTGCCATCGAGCGAAAATTACGATCGAAGGTGTTCTCTCTCTCTCTCTTTTTCTCTCTCTCTCTCT